TAAAACACAACATATCAAGTGAAACCGCACAATGATGGAAAAATTAGTCTTAAACCTGCCACTTCATACACGATATTCGATGAACCTGAAGAAAAGAAGCAAAGGGATGAAAGGAAAGAACCAAGAAGACTGAAAGGAAGAAAGAAAGAGGAAAAAAATATAAACACCGTCACACCCAAGATAGCTCGTCTGATGCCTAACTAAGAGTGCTTGAGGGTTTCCAACAGGAAGTCTCAAGCACTCTGGGGGAACTTTCTCTGTACTTGGGTGTGTGGTCCGAAGGTGATCAGACTGGATCACTGCTTTAGCAACGACTTGACGTCTTGCTTTTCTCTTGAAATTCCGTCATCTGTCTTTCGGCTATCCGTGAACTTGCTCTCTTGGGAGACCTTCACTCCCGCGGCATGCGTTCTTCATCAAATCACACGAAAAGAAATTTCTAACAGCTGTGGGAATCAAACCCACGCCCTTGCGGACTGACGCCTGAAGCCAGCGCCTTAGACCACTCGGCCAAACTGACGATGAGTTCTTCAAGATTCATAGCCGAGGTGATGCATCGCTCTGCCAAACCAGAGGAGACAAAAATGGGTTGAACGGTTTCTGCGAGGTGCGATGGCACAATATCGATCAGAAGGTTTTGATCTTGCACTACCTCGCTTTTGAAAGGGTCTCGGTTCTTAATATAAGACCAGTCAGGTATATAGACTGACAGCTGTGGGGTTCGAACCCACGCCCTTTCGGACTGGCGCCTTAAGCCAGCGCCTTAGACCACTCGACCAAACTGTCGGTAAGTGATTCAAAAACTATAGCGGAGAAGATGCGTTACACTATAGGACATGACACAAAAACGGTTCCGAACCGTTTCCGCGGAATGCGTTCTTCATCAAATCACACGAAAAGAAATTTCTAATAGCTGTGGGATTCGAGCCCACACCCTTGCGGACTGACGCCTGAAGCCAGCGCCTTAGACCACTCGGACAAACTGTCGATGAGTACTTTAAGATTCATAGCCGAGGTGATGCATCGCTCTGCCAAACCAGAGGAGACAAAAATGGGTTGAACGGTTTCTGCGAGGTGCGATGGCACAATATCGATCAGAAGGTTTTGATCTTGCACTACCTCGCTTTTGAAAGGGTCTCGGTTCTTAATATAAGACCAGTCAGGTATATAGACTGACAGCTGTGGGGTTCGAACCCACGCCCTTTCGGACTGGCGCCTTAAGCCAGCGCCGTAAACCACTCGGCCAAACTGTCGGTAAGTGATTCAAAAACTATAGCGGAGAAGATGCGTTACACTATAGGACATGACACAAAAACGGTTCCGAACCGTTTCCGCGGAATGCGTTCTTCGTCAAATCACACGAAAAGAAATTTCTAATAGCTGTGGGATTCGAACCCACGCCCTTGCGGACTGACGCCTGAAGCCAGCGCCTTAGACCACTCGGACAAACTGTCGATGAGTACTTCAAGATTCATAGCCGAGGTGATGCATCGCTCTGCCAAACCAAAGGGCACAGAAATGGGTTGAACGGTATCTGCGAGTTGCGATGGCGCAATATCGATCAGAAGGTTTTGGTCTTGCACTACCTCGCTTCTGAAAAGGTCTCGGATTTTAATACAACACCAGTCAGGTATATAGACTGACAGCTGTGGGGTCCAAACCCACGCTCTTTCAGACTGGCGCCTTAAGCCAGAGCCTTAGACCACTCGGCCAAACTGTCGATGAATGTTTCAAGATTCATAGCCGAGGTGATGCATCGCTCTGCCAAACCAGAGGAGACAAAAATGGGTTGAACGGTTTCTGCGAGGTGCGATGGCACAATATCGATCAGAAGGTTTTGATCTTGCACTACCTCGCTTTTGAAAGGGTCTCGGTTCTTAATATAAGACCTGTCAGGTATATAGACTAACAGCTGTGGGATTTGAACCCACGCCCTTGCGGACTGACG